GGGGGGGGAACAAAGCTGAAGAGAAAATAGAGAAGCAAATATAACGTATATAATAATCACTAGATGCAAACGGGGAAAAGCATTAGTTCGGTAAACGAAAAACAGAGAGACATAGATAACGATCAATGCAATGGTGGAGGGGGAAAAAAACCCAGCAGAGGAGTGTAAAAAGGTAGAAATTATTAGTGGCATCCTCTTGCCACCGCCAGAGGCAGCCATGTTTGTTTGTTTGTTTGTTTGTTTGAGTAAACAGACACACACTGACACAGAGGGTTCTCGTGGCCTTTAGGTTAAGGTGTTGGCCTCTCACTCAAAAGGTCCCGGGTTCGAATCCGGGTAGTGACCGAAAAATTTTCTTCTCTAAATTTGTCTCCTTTCACCTCCTTTCCTGCTCTCTAGCAATGTTCTGTCGTCAGTTTTCGTTTCCTCTTTCGGTCCCCACTCCCTCATCTCCTTTGCTCCCCTCCTCTGGGCTCCTGATTCTTTCTACAGCCTTTCGACTGCTACTCCTTGACTTCTTCTTACTGCTGTCTTTCAGCCACACCCCTGATCTTCTGGTAGGAAAGATCTACACCTAGCCTTCTCGGACAAGGGCGAAAAATCTCGGAGCGCCCGAGTGCAAGTTGCGCACGTTAAAGATCCCTTGTTGGTCTAAAATCGATAAGAGTAGGCTTCGGCTGCCACCCGGGCAAAAGTCAAAATTTCCTACCAATTGAAAAAGTTCAATGCGTTCCGCGCGCTCATATGACCTTATGCAGTTGCGAACGCCGTAAAACACTTACAAAAACAAAAAAACCACGGACACAACAACTGTCATTCGGGCCCGTGGAAAAGTACAAACAAACAGAAATATCAGAAAGGGACTAAAAAAGTAGAACCTATCAGTGCATGGCATCCTCTAAACACCGGTAGAGATAGGCACGACAACTGCAGGCCGAAACGACATGCATGACGTAGTTAACTCATCCAGGACGTGTATTCTGGACATTCAACAAAACGTTTGTTTGTTTGCTTGTTTTTTAGTTTCAATAAGAGTTTACGGAACTTACAAAACAATAAAGTCATAAAATAAAGTGTCGAAGATTAGAGGTGTTACAAGAGAGTGACGAACATAAAAAAGAAGTAAGAGGAGAGATAAAAGCGATAGTTGTTTGATAGGACAGAAGGAGCAAACCATACCAGACCACCCGCCATCCACCCACTGTTTGTTTGTTTGAGTCAAGAGAAGCATTTCGACACACGAATGATCATTTAGCGCAGGGGGAAAACATTTAAGACAAACAGAAACAAGAGAGAGAAAGCTAAGAAGCAGGATGTACCAGTGACGCTCGCCAACCACCAGTACAACTGCCACGCGTAAGGACGTGCTGTTTA